TTCACAGTTTGTACTCACCCCTGAAGTTGTGAATTACACGAAAGCGCTTGGGAACTTCGTGTTTTCTTTTTCCTTGTGGTTATCAGCATATATATAAATATATATATATATATATATATATATATATATATATATATATATATATATATATATATATATATTTATATATATATATTTATATATATATATTTATATATATATATTTATATATATATATTTATATTTATATATATTTATATATATATATTTATATTTATATATATTTATATATATATTTATATTTATATATATTTATATATATATATTTATATATATATATTTATATTTATATATATTTATATATATATATTTATATTTATATATATATTTATATATATATATATATATATATATATATATATATATATATATATATATATATATATATATATATATATATATATATATATATATATATATATATATATATATATATATATATATATATATATATATATATATATATATATATATATATATATATATATATATATATATATATATATATACTTGTCTATAACCCCCCTTCGTATATAGGTCGACCCCGATTTTTTGACCAAGAAATTGTTAATTTATGATATTCCTCGTTTATAGGTCGACCCAAGTTTTTGAGGGTAAAGGAACAACAAAACCTTCAGAGAAACACTACGTCCTATAAACTTGTTTACCATTTATTATTACGACACTTTACACTGAAACGCGGGTAGTTTCAACAAAAATATTGTATATTTCCATTCAAGTATTTATTCAAGTCAATTAGGAGGGAATATTATTGTAATACAATAGTTTTTTAACTGAAAACCATTCGAAAAGCGATTACGGTAACATCTTTTGAACGAAAGAAAGGGAAAGTCATTGTTTTCGTCACGATTTTATCCTACTTTCCACTGTAATACGTACGTCATTTCAGCAAAAAATATTACATTTCTGTGAATGTATTGTATCAAGCACAGTATGAATAGAATATCACTAATATAACAGTATTTTAACCGAAAACTAATAAAAAAATGAGTAACATATCTTGAACATCGGAAGGTTTGGTAAAGTCTTTTGTTTTCATGTAGTTTATCCTAATTTACATTGAAATACATCACGTTTCAGCAAAACTACTATTTATTTCTGAGAATATGGAAATGTAATATTTTTGCTGAAATGACGTACGTATTACAGTGGGGTATGCTATAACGAATCTAATTGGTTCTAGAACCTTGTTCGTTATAGCATTCGTTCGTTATAGGATTAATCCGTTCCAGGCCCCCAAATACAACCACTTAACACTGAGAAATATAATATAAAATTGTAAAAATTGTAAAAAAGTGCATAAATATGCATCTAAACCCCTGAAATATAGAGTATCATTAATGCTTGTAATAAAAAAACAATAAATTAGTAAAAAAAAAAAAAAATTTTTTCTTAATAATGTTCGTTGTAGGAGTTTCGTTCGTTATAGCATTCTCAATTTTATAGGTAAAACCGTTCGTTATAGGAATATTCGTAGTAGGATCCGTTCGTTATAGCATACCCCACTTTATAGTGGAAAGTGGGATAAAATCGTGACAAAAACAATGACTTTCGCTTTCTTTCGTTGAAAAGATGTTACCGTAATCGCCTTTCGAATGGTTTTCAGTTAAAAACTGTTGTATTACAATAATATTCTATCCTAATTCACTTGTGATGTAACAGTTTTTTAACTGAAAACGATTACCGTCTAGCTGATACGGCAGAGCCCTGGTCGCGGAGGCTTTGTGTTTGCTTCGGCCCTTCTTAAGCAGCTTTTAAATTTAGCGTACGTTGAAATTGTGTTTACCGGTATATTCTATTTTCTTGCTTCTTATTTTCCAGAAATATGACAAGTTTGTATATAATACAATGTTACGGTACTTTTAATTAACAAGTATTCATTTTTAAAAATATAGAAGACACCAAACAAATACCAGTACTACGGTTATTTGCGTGACTCTCCTGCCAAACAAGACCAAACAGCTGGTACTCTCTCCCTCAGCCCTACCAAAAATAGCCCAACCACATCTTTCTTAATTATTCTCTTCCAATTTCTCACTTTAACTGGTATTTTTTACTTCATATTGCCTACATCAGATAAACTACAGTAATTGAGGTTAGACACTTATAAATTTGATTACCGGGTCCTGGCAGGTGCCGTTAGAACCACCTGACCCTACCAACAGTGTTGCAAGTCAGACAGCATTTTTTTAATCATCCATGTGCACGAGAAAGGATGGATGGATGAAGGCGGCATACAAATATGGCTTAAAAAAGTCTGAACTTTAGACCGGGGGGACTGCGCAAAGAAAAAAGTCTTCTTGTGTGGGATATGTTTTGGTCACATCTTGTTGACAGTGTTACTGCTGGGATTAGGAAGGAAAACACTGATACAGCTGTGATTCCTGGTGGATTAACAAGTCTTGTCCAACCACTGGATGTTTCCTTAAACAAACCATTTAAAGATGCGGTAAGAGTGAAGTGGAACAACTGGATGATAGAAGGCGATAAGACATACACAAAGGGAGGCAACATCCAAGCTCCATCACCAGCAACATTATGTGAATGGATTGTAGAGGCCTGGGATGCAATCAGACCAGAAATTGTGGTGAAATCTTTTAAGAAATGTGGGATTTCGAATGCTCTTGATGGAACAGAAGACGACTTGTTGTGGGATTATGAGGCTAATGAGAGCGTGAATGAGGATGAAGATATTGATGATCCTATGGCTGATGATGGTGTTGATCCATATGACGATGCTGTTCAAGGAGAGGACTGGGAGGAGCTGTTTGGTGCTGCAGATGATGACAAGGAAAATGATTTTGATGGATTTTAATGAAAATATTCAGAAATATGGTATCGTAGTATTTATTCAAGTCAATTAGGATAGAATATTATTGTAATTCAACAGTTTTTAACTGAAAACCATTTGAAAAACGATTACGGCAAAATCTTTTGAACGACGAAAGAAAGTGAAAGTCATTGTTTTCGTCACAATTTTATCCCACTTTCCACTGTAATACGTACGTCTTTTCAGCAAAAATATTACATTTCCATATTTATTTCTGAGAATATATTCATTCAGGCACAGTTAAGGTAAAATATACTTGTGATGTAATATTTTAATGAAAATATTTATAAATAAGGTATCGTATTTTTCTTTTGTTTCAAATTTAATTAACAAAGATTGATGTTTCAAATTTAATTAAAAAAAATTTATGTATCCATAAATAAACTTTTAAAAATGAATACTTTATGTTTTACATACTCCTGTGCATCCCATACCATACCATACCATGCATTTGGCTACTTTTGGCTTGCTATGATGACGCAAGAGATCTGCCCTGGCAACTGTACCGACACTCACAGTGGGTGGTGAGTTGGTGCGTCGTTTCCATTGTTTACTGGTAGTTACTGGTAAATATTTTTCAACCTAACGAAACTATTACCCGTATAGAGGTCGACCCCCAACTTTTTGCCAAAAAATTTGGTCTTAAGAACTCGTGCTATACACGGGTATATACGGTATATATATATATATACACAGTGGTCCCTCAGTTAACGAGCAGAATCCATTCCAGCAGGTTGCTCGGTAACCGAAAAACTCGTTAACCGAAACCATTGTTTCAAAGGGTTTTTGTGCAATTGGTTCCAGCTCACCGAAAATTGCCTAAATTCAACAAAAAAGGTAGAAATGTACACTTACTTTGTGTATTTCATTTACGCGTTTTTCGTTTTACGCGGACCTCCACGGGTTCAATTGACTGCGTAAATGCAGACTCCACTATATATATATATATATATATATATATATATATATATATATATATATATATATATATATATATATATATATATATATATATATATATATATATACAGTGAACCCTCACTTTGCGCGGTCAATTGAACCCACGGAGGCCCGCGTAAAGTGAACAATATAACATATGGGATTAAATGAAATAGGGACCGGCTGACCCCCAAACTCCACTTTTTCCGACACAATACCTATGTTCTAGTAAAAATAACATCTTAATTTTATGATGGTACATGCACACAATTAATACTTAAGAGAAATAGAGAAATACAGTCGCCAAGTTAATGTCCATTCAAATAATGGACTCAACTCCCTCCCCCTCTTCTCACACTACACTCGTTGGCTCTTCCCTCTCTGAGAAATTTTTTGGGTAAAACCACTAGATTTTAAGGTATAGTAATAAATATTACCTCAAACTAAAGTTAGGATAATATAATTGACATTGCTGGATTCCTTGTAAGACCAGGAATATTTTGAATATAAATGTCATATTTTGTACAAAAGATAACATATTTACTCAGAGTAAACAAAATACTTACATTAGATCTAAAATTTGTATGTCTAATGCAAAATCTATGATGTTTACTTTCAAAATGATCATCAAATTGTAAGAATTCCAGCAATGTAAATTATATTCTGGCTGGGTAATTTGTATGAATTTTATGAGCTAAAACAAATAGCTTCAATTAATAAAAAAAAAAATATTCTTCACGACACTATCTGTCAATCAAAGTACCCCACCTTGCCTCCCCCCCTCTTCCAACCACGCCAGATAGTCGGTCGGTCCCTCCCTCCCCCCCGCCAACCCTCCATACCAGTATATATATATATATATATATATATATATATATATATATATATATATATATATATATAGAGGTATATATATATATATATATATATATATATATCGATAAATCACACGGAAAATGGAAACAACGAGTACCTTAGCTGTTTTAGTTCAAGATATATATATATATATATATATATATATATATATATATATATATATATATATATATATATATATATATATATATATATATATATATATATATATATATATATATATATATATATATATATATATATATATATATATATATATATATATATATATATATACACACACAACTTGTACATTTTCAAACTGTCTGTTGCTCCTGTTTCCACAAGACCTACCTCTCTTCTCCACCCCCACCTTCAAACACCCTTGCATTTAGGTACAGTACCCTGTATTTTATATTCTTTTGGATATTAGAACCCTCAAAGAAGCATGATCGATAGATAATTTACCTTGTTAAAATACATGAATTCTTTCAGATTGTTCTGTGAGGACAGAGATGGTGTTGGTAAGTGTAAGAATGTTCCACCTGGTACTGTTGTGGATTCTGGGATCACACATCCAAGTGAGCGAGATTTCTATCTCTGCTCTCATCAAGTAAGTTCACCTTTATTCTGATATATTTATTTTAGAGTAGAAAAATAAACACTAGAATGTTGTATGCAGTGTTGTACGTTGACGCCGTTAATTTAACGCAGTCAATGGACGGCGGCAATTTTTTGTTAACTCTTCAGGGGTGAGTACAGATGTACTGGCTCCTCGATGATGTGACTACATCAAAGTGCTAACTGTTTTCTTTCTTTCCTAGGTTATCAGCATATATATATATATATATATATATATATATATATATATATATATATATATATATATATATATATATATATATATATATATATATATACACATTTATATATATATATGTATATATATATATATATATATATATATACATTTGCTATATATATTATATATATATATACATATTATATATATATATATATATATATATATATATATATATATATATATATATATATATATATATATATATATATATATATATATATATATATATATATATATATATATATATATATATATATATATATATGCTGATAAGTTATCAGCCCTACTGATAACCACAAGGAAAGAAGAAAACACGAAGTTCCCAAGCGCTTTCGTGTAATTCACATCTTCAGGGGTGAGTACAGACTAGAGAGAGAAATACAATTCAAGGTGTATATATACAGAGAAGGGTGAGACCAGGTCCACAATGGTCAGGTATTAGGTAATGACCGTACTAATCTTTAAATAGCACACAACGGTTATCTTGATAAAATCACACGGGAAAATGGAAACAACGGAGCACCTTAGCTTTCGTCTTTATTCAAGACATCTTCAGAGGCAACTGGATTACATGGACAGAGAGAGGCTTAAATATACAGGGTGACCTTAAAAAGATGAGGTCAGGTCATAATGATGTCATCCACTAATCCCCACACCAACACACACGTAGAGGAGCTTAAGAGAAGGGGGGTGACGATGAATTGAAACACATTCGTTCCATTGCACAGAAACTCGGGTACCCTTCTGTGTTTGTTGATCGATGTTTTAAAAGGGCTAAATAATCCTTTCATTCCTCTCAAACCAGACAAGTTCCTACACTTAAGAATATTTTGACTGCCCTATCGTAATGAATTTGTCCCGTTAGTTCGGTTCCTCAAGCTTCTAAATATTAATGTTGTTTTCAAGTATGACTCAACCATTACCAATATGTTAATAAGGAATAGCCCAAGTTTGAATGTAAATGGAAGTGTTTATTGTATTCCATATAGCAAATGTAATTGTAATTATGTAGGACAGACAGGAAAAACACTGCAGCTCAAAATCAAACAACATAAGTATAATATCAGAACAGCATCTGAAAGCAGTGCCTTGTTCGTTCATGTTAGGAATAATAATCACCCCATTGCTTGGGAAAAAAGCTTAGAAATATTTAAATCATCTTGTGTCACAGAAAAACTTCTGGTTGAAGCTAGTTTGATTAAGGAATTAAAATTAATAAACCTTAGTGATGGTCAGTTCAAAACTGATAATATGTTACATAAATTTATTTGTCAGTGGCCCAAGGTTAAAAATGCTTTGAAAACCTTAGATCTAGGTGTATGATAGTTATTTTGTGGGTCCCTTATTTTTGACCTGACCTGACTAGTCACGTCACCCCCCTTCTCTTTAGCTCCTCTACGTGTGTGTTGGTGTGGGGATTAGTGGATTACATCATTATAACCTGACCTCATGTTTTTAAGGTCACCCTGTATATTTAAGCCTCTCTCTGTCCATGTAATCCAGTTGCCTCTGAAGATGTCTTGAATAAAGACGAAAGCTAAGGTACTCCATTGTTTCCATTTTCCCGTGTGATTTTATCAAGATTTATCTTATCCACGTTTTCATTGTGGATTTACATGAAATATATATATATATATATATATATATATATATATATATATATATATATATATATATATATATATATATATATATATATATATATATATATATATATACAGTCAACCACCCTCACTTTACGCGGTTAATGTAACCCGCAGGGTCCCGCGTAAAGTGAGGAACGCGTAAAGTGAATAACATAACATATGGGATTAATTGAAATAAGAGTCCGGGCCGACCCCCAAACTCCACTTTTTGACGACACACAACTATGTTGTAGTAAAAATTTTATCTTATCTTTATGATGGTATGAAAAAACAAATAATATAGAAGAGGTTAGGTTAGGATAAATAAAGGTTAACATAGGAAAAATAAAGGTTAGGTTAGGAAAACTAAAAGTTATGTGGAACACTTACGTTAGTAGAAGAGATGGGTCGGCATACGGGGATGGAGGCTGGTTCCGAGGAAGAGGGCAGATTACTGGCCCTCAGGTGAATCACCATTACTAGGTGAATCACCATCACTGTCACTTACAGTTGTCAGGGCTTCCCTGACAAATCCCTCAAAGTCATCTTCACTGTCACTATCACTGGCTTGGGCTGGCTGTGGTGGGTTGCGGGCGAAGAAACAGTGGCGTAGCTAGAGTGAGTGCCGCCCGGGGCGGCCCTTGAGTTTGCCGCCCCGTGCCCCCACAAAAAATACATATTGCACAGTGACTCACTCTTATATATATATATATATATATATATATATATATATATATATATATATATATATATATATATATATATATATATATATATATATATATACACAGTCAACCCTCACTTTACGCGGTTAATGTAACCCGCAGGGTCCCGCGGAAAGTGAGGAACGCGTAAAGTGAATAACATAACATATGGGATTAATTGAAATAGAGTCCGGGCCGACCCCCAAACTCCACTTCTTGACGACACACAACTATGTTGTAGTAAAAATTTTATCTTAACTTTATGATGGTATGAAAAAACAAGTAATATAGAAGAGGTTAGGTTAGGTAAAATAAAGGTTAACATAGGAAAAATAAAGGTTAGGTTAGGAAAACTAAAAGTTAGTGGAACACTTACGTTAGTAGAAGAGATGGGTCGGCATACGGGGATGGAGGCTGGTTCCGAGGCATAGGGCAGGCTACTGGCCCTCAGGTGAATCACCATTACTAGGTGCATCACCATCACTGTCACTTACAGTTGTCAGGGCTTCCCTGACAAATCCCTCAAAGTCATCTTCACTGTCACTATCACTGGCTTGGGCTGGCTGTGGTGGGTTGCGGGCGAAGAAATCTGTTATGCTTTGCTGACGGCTGGTGTTGATGTTGTCGTGATACACCTTGATGTAGGGCTCCATAGTCTGCAACAGCTGGGTAGTGAAGATTTCATACCTGTTTGCGTCAGGGTCGTCGGAAAGGAGGAGCTTGGCTTTCTCGATACACTCGATGGCACCCCTAACATTACTATGGGATAAGTGTTGTTCTTCTTGGGATGACGCACCACCTGCCTCTTCACTGACGTCGTCATCATCATCATCTACCATCTCCTCGTTAGTCACATCAGGTTCCATTATCACCTCCAGGATGTCGTCGTTGGTGGTCTCGGAGAAGCCTGGAACTGTAACAGTCTGCGCAGCTTCTCTGGCAAGGTCCACTGCTACTGCAACAATCTGAACCTCACCAGTCACAGATTGACTCCTCCTCTCACCTGGTATTCCATGTAACACATGTCTCCATGCGTGACGAATTGTAGCAATAGACAGCTGATCCCATGACTCCACCAAGAAGTCCACAGCTTTCTTGATGTTAAATACTCTCCAGAATTGTTTGAACAGTATTTTTTGCTGTGCCAACTGTTGATCCTCATCTTCTTCGCTCTTGCTATCGGTGGTGGTGTCACTCACTTTGCGCAACTCTTCCCTGGTGTTGGTGTAGTCGTTCAGGAGCTTGAATTTTTTCGTAGAGAATGCAGCTTTTACATTACAGATTAACTCTTGGTCCATGGGCTGTAATATAGACGGAGTGTTGGGAGGAAGGAAGACCACTTTTACGTTGGGGTGATGATCTAACAGTAGGGGCGAGTGTCCTGGTGCGTTGTCCAGCAGCAACACAATCTTGAATGGCACATTCTGTTGCTCACAGAATTTCTTTACATCGGGAACAAAATAGTCATCAAACCAGGTGAGGGACAGTGTAGAGAACATCCACGCCTTACGTGCGGTCAGCCAGTGGACATTTAGCTTGGTCATGTCCATGGTTTTGTAGGCGTGCGGCTTGCATGCTGTGTGGATCACCGATAACTTGAGCTTACTGGTACCGGAGGCATTGGTGGTAAACAGGACGGTGATGCGTTCCTTCTGCATCTTCCGGCCCCGAATCTTGCTGGCATTCTTTACAACGAAGGACTTGGAAGGTAGCTTTTTCCAGAAAAGACCAGATTCGTCCATGTTAAACACCTGGTCGTCGGTGTACTGTCCTTCCTCCATAATCTCACGTAAAAACGGAGGAAATTCCCTAGCCGCAGCACGGTCAGCACTCGCTTCTTCACCACCAATGTTTATATTGGTGATCTTGTTCCGGATCTTAAACCTCTGTAACCACCCAGAGGAAGCATTAAAGGGTATATAAAAGGAACAGTGTGAGCAGTTTTTTTCAACTTTTAATTGAATTAATTTATTATTTCCAGGGTATTCAAGGTACCAGCAAACCAACTCATTACCATATTCTGTGGGATGACAATGATATGACAATGGATGATATACAGATGCTAACCTACAGTTTATGCCATCTGTACTTTCGTTGTACAAGATCTGTCTCCCTTCCAAGCCCTGCGTACTATGCTCATTTGGCTGCTTTCAGGTAAATGTCTATGATTGTTTACATATATATATATCTCAGGAGAGTATTGAAATTTTCTTAGTTTTCAAGCCACTTATTGCTTAATACGGGGTGGAAGTAATCAAGGGTTAACACACACCGGACATTTATTTTCCTTTTTCTTGTGCCTTCCATTCATTCATGCAGACTGCTGCTTCCTGGATATCTATTCCTTTCATTTATATGTCCTTCACTCTATCTATCTGAATCATATAGTTTTTCCTTGACTCCAAGAGATCACCATAGTTGATCAATGCATGCAACTGGGGTAAGCATTACTAATATATTTTATGTTATTATTTTCTGTATAATGTATATCCATAATATAAATATATATAATGGAATGTGTGCTCATTTTTTACAGTAACATACATACAGTATGTATAGCCACCAGCTTATGCAAGTTAAAATCTCTAAATATTTACCCTAAGCACATTTTATTAAGATATTTTTTAGAATAATTTATAAATTACCACAGGCATGGGTGTACTGTGGAGGGACTGTTTCACCCCTCCTTTCCCTTCACCTTTGTTAATGAAGGGGTTTTTGTCAGATCATCTTAATTTAACATGCCAAAGTTCCCTGTTCAAAAGGATGATTTCACGGTGTCCTGCCATAATGAAAAATTTCTGTTTCACGTGGTGATAATTGGATGATACATATGTTAAGTACCATTTGTAAAGATATGGTAGAAACAGAAAGAAGGTTGTGTTGATCAACCAATTAAAAAAGAAAAGTTAACAGGTGATATGCTGATTAGTGGTGTTGAATGCATTAAAAAATCAGTACAGTAGTTCAGTCAGGGAAAGGTGTTCCTATACCCCCTGTGATAACCCCAGTCAAGATGTTACAGTCAAAAGCATAACTCGGGAATCTGAAGAAATCACAAGTGTGGGGGGGGGTGGTGTTATGGGGATTGAGGAGGGTAAGGGAGTTTGGGGGGGGGGGATGGGAGAGGGTTATTGGGTTACTTGTGGAGTTACAATGCAGTATTTATTAACTTTTTGATGGTCATGGAAGAGAATACTTGTTCTATATTTGAGAGGCGTTGTTGGTCAAGAATGTGTATTAAGTATACACATCCTGCAGTTTTGGGCTTCACTATTATGCAAAATAAATGGGAATTGTTTTATTGTTTTTTGAAACCGTCTTATTTTTTATGAGTGGTAGTGATATCGATAATGAAGCCACGTGTGATGAAAGTGATTTGACGCACAGACCTGGATTACATTTAGGGAAGTACTAGTAGTGAAAGTGAAGAAAATATGTAAGGGGATAAGGAAAATGAGGAACTATATGTGACTCAGTGTGAAGGTGATGATCAAGATTGGGTTCAAGGACCTTCTTGGCATCAGCATTAGGAGAAGTAGTGAGATTGGGCCAACTAAAAAAAAAAGAAGCGGGAAGACACCATTGTCTCGCCGTTCTCTCTCTCTCTCTCTCCATGTAATCATGAGCGTCAACCAACCCTATGCTCCTCACCTGCCTCTGAAACCCCCCTTCTCAACACAGGCATAAGCATTTTATCTCGACGCTCTCCCTTACTCCGCTCACCCACACCTGGTTCATCTTATGACCCTACACCCACCCCCTGGGCCTGCCTCTCCTGCAGGGATGGATGACACAAACAGCGATGATGACCCAGATGACCCCCAGCCCACACGTTGCCACCCTGCCACTCATAAATAGAGTACTGGACCACTGACCTGGTACAGACTGCCACTTCAATATTTCACAAATTACTCTCAGTAAACAGTTTCACAAATATTTTACATTTGCTCCACGTCTATGATAATCTAGAGGGGTACAGTGACTCGACGAAGAAAATCCGCTATGTTTGACAACCTACATGAGAAATTCAGGACCCTCTTCTATCTATACTACCAGAATATTTGTATTCGTAGAAGTATAGTGCTGTGTCGAGGCAGTATCAGTTTCCACCCAAGCGACACCATTTTGGCCTGAAGTTGTTTGTGATGTGTGATTGCAAGATGAGCTACATCCAAGATATTATGTACATGAGGGCACTACTGATACAACACTTGATCCTATCACTGGCCATTCTGGGGGGACAGGGTAGTGTTTTTCCAGTACAGGTACTTACATGACAACAAAGACCAGGGCTTGTGGGACATGCAGAGCCAAGCGTATTGCTATGCCATACCTCCCCAACAAAAAAGAAAGGAGTGATGGCCAAGTCATCCTTAGGAAAGCACAGTAATGCCTTTCAATATAATGGTGTAATAAGAAGGGTGTTAATTTGATGTCTACTGTCCACCTTTGTGCTGAGCCATAACATACACAAGGCAACAAAACAATACGAGATGAAACCTGAGTGTTCTTTTTTATAATATAACCATGAGACTTGGAGATAAATCAGATGCAATGATCTCTAGTGTAAAAAGTGCCTGGAAAACAACGAAATGGTATAAGAAAATGTTTTTCCATCTCCTGGACATGTTATTATTAAAATGCACACATACTATACCAACAAGTGAAGGGAAAGAAATTCACTGACCACACCATTCACATCCTCAAGCAACTTCTGGCTGTCTACCACCAACTGTGTGAGCCACAGTCCATCCACTCCCAGAAACACATCAAAGCCTTAATGCCTCCCAGTTTGCTCAAATCCCGGACTGTATCCTTCCTACAGCATCAATGAGACACCCAACGAGAAAATGCCATGGCTATGTATGCACATTCAACAAAGCAACCTCAGGTGTACAAGGAAACATTTTACATGTGTTTGATGTGCGGCCACCACCATGTGTCTTACCGTGTTTTAAAGTGTATCACACTTGAAATGTGAAATTCAAATAGTGTTCAAGTATAGAAATAAGTGCCCAAGTATGTGGAAAAATGATGCATGTTGTGAAGAATAGCGAGGGTGCACCATTTGAAAACATTGTGCTTCCCCATCTGGAGTACTCAAACCCTGTCTGGTCCCCGAGATATGCTAGGAACTGTCAGTTGGTTGAAAATGTTCAAAGGAGGGCCACCAGACTGGTGCCTGCACTTCGGCACCTCAGCTACCCTGAGAGATTGGAGCGCCTGAACTTGCCTAGCTTATACTACAGATGGGCAAGGGGAGACCTAATTGAAGTGTATAAGCATCTCAAGGGACACTACTCAGTCGAGTGTCCTTACTTGGAGCTGGCGGACACTCGCCCCACAAGGGGTCACAGCTCAAGATTGAAGAAGCCGCAGGTCCAGAAAACTGTGAGGGCAAACTTTTTCGGCGTGAGAGTTGTGAACTCTTGGAACAATCTACCAGAAAGTGTTGTGTCAGCACCGAGTGTGAGCTCTTTCAAGACCAGACTTGACCAACACTGGAGTGGGTTCAGGTACATTCAGGAGCTGGTGCATGCCCAGTACTTGCCAACAGTGTGAAACAAAGGGGTGACCGATCGCCCAAGCGACTAACGAGCCGATCATTTGGTGAAGAGGATAAAAGAAAAAGAAAAGTAACAGACGTGACTGATCGCCCAAGCGGCTAACGAGCCAATCAGTGGTGAAGAGGATAAACGTAAAAAGTAAAATCACAGCACAACCACCAAGAAACCATGAGATACATTAGATTGATAGATATTTTGAATATAATATGACTAATGTTGTATCGGTTTGAATTATATATGTGACGTTGTACTGTATTCACTAGAATACTTACCAAAACCATGCTCATGTCTGCAGATGAATACAACAGCTGACTCTAACCTCGACTTTTTCTTCCTTCAGTTAAAGATAATTAGTTTATATGAATAAAGAATAAGATGCTAAAATAAAGGTACCTATGGTACTTATTTCCCTATCTACCTACTTAATTATTTATCTACCTACTACTTAATTATTTATCTACCTACTACTTAATTATTTATCTACCTTCTACCTAGCTTTCATACCTACCCAACTACTTACTTACCTACCTACCTACATATCTGCTTACTTACCTATATACTGACCTCACAACCTACTTACCGGTATCTTCTTATTTCCTATCTCTATTCACTTACCTGCAGATTTACTTCCCTAACCACCTACTCACTTATATATCCCGAACTATCTGTTTACTCATCTAGCTACCTACCGTCTTTCCAATCTGCTTACAACACCTTCTTTACCCATCTACACACTTACCCAACTACCTACCTGTCACTACTTACTATAACAATCACTACTTAATCCTACTTACTATGTCTGTTGCTTGTTATTTAATTCTTCCATACATCAGGTTTCCTTTGCAGTAAATACATATAATGTATACAGTTGCAGTAATTTTAGTGTTAATATACTCTCTCTTATTACCAGGGCAAAAGTACACATCTCAGAATTGTCTGAAAGGGATGGAGATGGTATGACTCAGGAAGAAATTAAGTGTGTTGCTACAGTTGAACAGAAAAATGCACTCTCAAGCAAGTTATATTATGTGTAGTAAATCAAATGGTGTGTACTAGAATTTATTTTCCATGTAGACTGGCATATAAGAGGTTTCTGAATTGTTGGGAGGATTTATTTTTAGGTGACTGTTCCTATAATTAATCTTTCATGTGGTGCATCTATGCATATACAAGATAGGAATTATATCTTGCTGTCTTTAGGAAGATAAATGTTGTACTCGGTGAAAAGGTGTACCTGTAGTATAAGGTACAAAATGCATCTGAGGATACAGGTTCTTTTGTGCAGTAATCACAAAAATAGTTGTCTGTATTAAATCTTAGAATTGTGTAATTGCAGTTGAAAGGGTTTCATTTTTTTTATACCATGCCAAGAGGATAGTTGTCTTAGGAATACTGTACTGCATAGTATATTTCTTATTTGGAGTTAAGCTTACTGTAGATTTAGAGGAAAATGTATTGGTTCTTTTGCATGTTGACAATTTAAGTTTCATGTTATATTTAGTGAGTGGACAAAGCTTTATGTAACTATGCTGATGTTCATAATATTTCAGAAGATTTAAGAGAAATTTAAAAAAATGCACTGGAGACCATTTTTGTGTCAGTTTATAGCAGGATTGCATTTAAATGCCAGTTTACTATGGTTTTTCTTTTAATATTTATTGGGAAGATATGGAAATATGATAAATAACAATGTTTCTAAAAATCATAATTTTTACTTATTCCTCTTATTTACAAATGTTTTGTACAGAACCAGAATTAAGGTATTCACTTAATTGAAAACTCTTTTAAAAATAATATAAATGCTTTGCTGTTCTGATTTATTGGTGCTAAGTTAGGAAATGCTTGCTGTGCTCTGGCAATACAGTATTACCCCGCTTAACGCGCTTTCACTTAACGCGTTTTCGCATATACGCGGTGCCTTGCCAAAGCTGAATTTTCACTTAACGCGGCATTTTTCATCATATACGCTTTCATCATATACGCGGTGAGTGTCCGGCTCGAGAGCTATTTTTAGATTCGCACCACCCCCCACCCGCCACCCTGCCTGACTGCCTGTTTTAGCTCATAAAATTCATACAAATTACCCAGCCAGAATATAATTTACATTGCTGGAATTCTTATAATTTGGTGATCATTTTGAATATAAACAACATATATTTTGCATTAAACATACAATTTTTAGATAAAAATTGTTCTCTAGGTAATTATGTTATCTTTTGTCCAAAATATATGACATTTATATTCAAAATATTCCTGGTCTTACAAGGAATCCAGCAATGTCAATTATATTATCCTAACTTTAGTTTGAGGTATTATTTATTAAAATTTAGTGGTTATCCCACACATCTCCTTGGGACGGTTGGTGGGGGGTGGGGGGGAGGGAGGGACCGACCGACCGACCATCTGTTACCCCGTGAAGAATTATTTTTTTTTTTATTAACTGAAGATATTTGTTTTAGCTCATAAAATTCATACAAATTACCCGGTCAGAATATAATTTACATTGCTGGAATTCTTATAATTTGGTGATCATTTTGAATATAAACAACATATATTTTGCATTAAACATACAATTTTTAGATAAAAATTGTTCTCTAGGTAATTATGTTATCTTTTGTCCAAAATATATGACATTTATATTCAAAATATTCCTGGTCTTACAAGGAATCCAGCAATGTCAATTATATTATCCTAACTTTAATCTGAGGTATTATTTAATACTAAATGTTAAAAACTCTTGAATGGAGGATTGGTGGGGGGTGGGGGGAGGGTTGGGACTGACCACGCGGTTGGAAGAGGGGGGGAAGGCAAGGTGGGGTACTTTGATTGACAGATAGTGTCGAAGAATATTTTTTTTTTTTTATTAACTGAAGATATTTGTTTTAGCTCATAAAATTCATACAAATTATCCGGCCAGAATATAATTTACATTGCTGGAATTCTTATAATTTGGTGATCATTTTGAATATAAACAACATATATTTTGCATTAAACATACAATTTTTAGATAAAAATTGTTCTCTAGGTAATTATGTTATCTTTTGTCCAAAATATATGACATTTATATTCAAAATATTCCTGGTCTTACAAGGAATCCAGCAATGTCAATTATATTATCCTAACTTTAATCTGAGGTATTATTTAATACTAAATGTTAAAAACTCTTGAATGGAGGATTGGTGGGGGGTGGGGGGAGGGTTGGGACTGACCACGCGGTTGGAAGAGGGGGGGAAGGCAAGGTGGGGTACTTTGATTGACAGATAGTGTCGAAGAATATTTTTTTTTTTTTATTAACTGAAGATATTTGTTTTAGCTCATAAAATTCATACAAATTATCCGGCCAGAATATAATTTACATTGCTGGAATTCTTATAATTTGGTGATCATTTTGAATATAAACAACATATATTTTGCATTAAACATACAATTTTTAGATAAAAATTGTTCTCTAGGTAATTATGTTATCTTTTGTCCAAAATATATGACATTTATATTCAAAATATTCCTGGTCTTACAAGGAATCCAGCAATGTCAATTATATTATCCTAACTTTAATCTGAGGTATTATTTAATACTAAATGTTAAAAACTCTTGAATGGAGGATTGGTGGGGGGTGGGGGGAGGGTTGGGACTGACCACGCGGTTGGAAGAGGGGGGGAAGGCAAGGTGGGGTACTTTGATTGACAGATAGTGTCGAAGAATATTTTTTTTTTTTTATTAACTGAAGATATTTGTTTTAGCTCATAAAATTCATACAAATTATCCGGCCAGAATATAATTTACATTGCTGGAATTCTTATAATTTGGTGATCATTTTGAATATAAACAACATATATTTTGCATTAAACATACAATTTTTAGATAAAAATTGTTCTCTAGGTAATTATGTTATCTTTTGTCCAAAATATATGACATTTATATTCAAAATATTCCTGGTCTTACAAGGAATCCAGCAATGTCAATTATATTATCCTAACTTTAGTTTGAGGAATTATTTATTACTATACCTGGTTTTCCCCCAAAAATTTCTCAGAGGGAAGAGCCAGTGAGTGTAGTGTGAGAAGAGGGGGAGGGAGTTGAGTCCATTATTTGAATGGACATTAACTTGGCGACTGTATTTCTCTATTTCTCTTAAGTATTAATTGTGTGCATGTACCATCATAAAATTAAGATGTTATTTTTACTACAACATAGTTATTTGTCGTCAAAAAGTGGAGTTTGGGGGTCGGGCTGGGTTCTATTGGAATTAATCCCATATGTTCTGTTATTCACTTAACGCGGTTTTCACTTAACGCGGGACCCTCTGGGTTCAATTGACCGCGTTAAGTGGGGTACAACTGTATCTCCTTAAACTTACAGGAAAAGACATATGTGCTTTGAGATTCAAAATTCTGCATTTTCCACCTTATAAAACAAATTTTTTCCCTAGAAATGTCTCCAAAACTCACCCTGTATCTTTCACGTCAAAGGATAACCCTATGGGGATGAGGATCCCCACTAAAACCGAGACCATAATATTTAAGGACCCTAGCCCAAGTTAACCAGCTACCTAATTAAACATACCTATGTGAGAGAACTTATATCTTGCCTGAATAATAAAGTAAATTGGGTGGAGGAATAGCACTACTATTTAGGTTTTTCTAAGAATAAAGTAAAGAAAGATGCCACTCTTGGCACATGCACTGCTACCATCTTTGTTCACATCAGGTTGCTTGGTGTAGTCTGTTGTTTTATAGGCAATAATAACATTAATGTATAATTATAGTCCATGCTCACTAATAAGAAAGACCAGCAGCAAATGTACTATTTTTGCATTAATAATATTAATACATTTGTACCTTGCTAATTTGACAACTTCAGATCTCTACCCTATTTGAACTATCTCTTGGATACAAATTAACTGAAGTGTGGCCAAAATTCTTTGTGCCTTGCATAATTCATGTGCTGTTACAGTCGGTATTAATGAAAAAAAAAATTCTTAACATTATATTGAAATGGTTCATATGGAGTGATACTAACACTAAGGGTATTTATGTATACAGTACAACCAGTTTTTATGTCTCTGTTGGCTCATGACTTCATGGAAAATTACAGGCTGTTTTGTGTGAGCCTAAAGGTGCATCCACACGTGTGTACAATTTGTCGCTAACATGTGATCAAAATGAGGCACAGGGTTCCAACTGGTAGGGTGCGGCTGCGTGCATTAGATCCGTGTTTCTTCTTGTTGATCACATGTTGGCAACCAAATGTATGCACGTGTGAACACACCTTTAATAAAACATTATTTTTTCACATAACATACAAGTATGGCATGTAACACTAATATATTTATGTACTGTATATAGAACTACAACCAGCTGTTGCTTTTATTGTAGGGCTGGATAATACTAATGCCTAAATATTTAGGCTTGTTGCTAGGCTGCTTGCTTCATGGAAAAGTACCATATTGTATTGTGCTGTGGCAGAAATATATACAGGTGCTCCCCGACTTACAACGGGGTTAGGGACCCAAATCCAGGTCGTAAGTCCGATTGGTCTTAAGTCCGACATAGATAAAAAAAAAAAAAAATCTACAATGAAATACAGTACAGTAAAAGTAATAAATAATGAGGACTGGCTACAGTACAGTAAAAGTAATAAATAATGAGGAATGGATACAGCGTGACTGAGCACTTACCTTTAATGTAGTCAGCTGAATGCACACGGGCCCCCATAATTTTCTATTTACAGGATACATGGAGACTATATTAATTGGATGAAGCAGAGGAGGAGACAGGGCTGGGTGGGTCATCAATGTCGCTTTCTTCAGACAGGTTTATGTACTGTGGAAACTTGCTGGTGAAGGTATTGGATCATCTTGAGGGAGTGAAGAGGCAGCACTGGTGGGACGTGAGGAGACAGCACTGGGGGACTTCTTAAAATAGATGTCCAATTTAGACTGCACAGTTTGTTTTTTCTTTTCATTATAAATTTCTCTGTAGCAAGCAAGTACATCTTGGATCATTCTGTCAACTTTGGCATAACGCTCATAATTTTGATCCATGCCATCAAACATTTGCATTCCTTTATTAATTGTAGCAAATACCTCTGCTATTTGTTTCACTGAAAACTTTTTGGGGGGTGCAGGTTCTTCTACATTTTGTCTCTCTTCTTCCTCTGCAATTTTCTGTGCATCTAGTTCAATAACATCCTCGTTACTGAGCGCCTTCTGCTACACTTTCAACCAACTGTTCAACATCTTTATTATCAATTTCTAACTCCAGCTGTTTACCTAACTCCACTATCTTGTTACTAATATCCGAAATAACTTAATTTTCATTAAATCCTTTGAAACTGTTCACATATCTTTTCAGGATTTTCTTCCATATTCCATTCATGCAATGTTTTGTAACCTGATTCCATGCTGCACTAATGTTCTTTTCCATGACAAAACATTGTACTCTTTCCAAAACTCTCTGAGCGTTTTCTCACCTTCAGTAGCAGCAACAGCCTGAGCGAAGGTCGTGCGTAAATAATACGCTTTAAAGGCAGCAATAGCACCTTGATCCATGGGTTGGATGATAGAGGTAGTGTTAGGTGGAATGTAGACTACCTGAACATCAGGGTGCATGTCGTCCAGGTGTGGTGGGTGTCCCGGAGCATTATCCAAAATCAGCAAAATCTTGAATGGAATCCGTTGTTGCAGACAATACTCCTTGGCTCG